GTTGTGTCAACCGCCGCTACATTAAGCAGAATGGCGAGAGAGTGGGGAGAATGGGCGGGATGCATGAATCACAGAGGTCCACTTGAAGAACTACAATTTCAGGTGGACAGCCTGTCATTCTTCCTCATAGCCTCTGTGAATCACACCGTGGGTGACTAAAAAGCTGTCTCACCCGGACGCAGGATGTCATGCCAAGGTAGAGGCTAGAACAGCACGTTCAAAGGCCGCATCAGACTTCTGCAAGAGATCAAGTCTATAATGCCGGATGAAAGTGGCCGGCTGTGCCCAGGTGGCAGAGGCGCAGACATCTGGAAGAGGTATGCTATGTAGGAATCCCACAGAGGTCGCCACTGCTCTGGTGGAGTGAGGGTGAATCACCTTCGGGACTAGTTTGTGTGCCAGCTGATACGCAAGGTGAATGGTTGAAGTGACACATCTAGATATGGTTTGAGATGTCACCTGGCGACCTTTAGTAGGCGGTCGGTGATTTATGAAAAGTCAAGGTGAACACCTGAAAGGTTGGGTGTGTTGGACATAAAAGACAAGGACTCTCCTAACATTTAAAGTATGGAGGATTCTTTCTTAAGTTGTGGACAGTGATGGGAAAAAGGAAGGATAAACGGCTGAGAGAGATGGAACTGAGATATGACTTTGGGGAGGAAAAAAAATATCTGGATAGTTTGACTTTGTCCAGAAAAAACTGTAAATAAAGATAGTTGTGATGTAAGGCCGCTAAATCACTAGCTCGTCGACCTGAGGTGATGGCAACGAGGAAAACTGTTTTAAAGGTAGGGATTGCATTGGGAGTAGATGGATTGTCGATTGACTTTGGTGTCGATAGGTTGATTGTCACAGTATTGACGTTTGTGGCTTGATGTTGATGGAGGCGGCATGTCCATGGGCACTTGTCGGTGTCAAAGATTTTCGATATTGAGAAATGTCATCTGAGTGCCCATGGACGTTGTTTGATATGGTTGAACTTTGGTGGTCATAGCGATGCCGAGTTTGATGGCTTGGTTCTATCGGCGACAGAAATCATGCGTTGACAGAGGAACAGCACGAGTGTCCATGGACCAGGATGGATATTGAGGATCATCAATATCAGAGCCTGTGTCTCGGTGATGTCGAAATGGAGGTTGTTGACGAGCTGGTAAAGCAGTGGAGTACATAGATGCTGGAGATGCCGAGTGAGGGGAATGATTTCCTTCATCTGGATTAGTGGGAAAATATCGGGAGGCTGGAGCTGTAAAAGCCTTGCGTGTAGAAGAAAATTGCTCGACCGTCCTGGGTCTTTTAGGTGCCAGGTAGGGAGCAGGTTGGAGTTGATGTGGGTCATGGTGATATAGTTGTTTCGACACCGATGGCAGTTGAGATCGAGGCCTGCCATGAGAAGGTATGGCTGAGCTGGATAGAGCAACTGGCTGATTGGCGGTTGCAGTTTGTCCGGTTGAGCACTGGTTGGGACAAATGGCAACCTGCTGAGAGTGCTGAACCACACGTGATGAAACAGACAGCTCCAGGGACTGCTGGGGCCTATGTCTCTGAGGAGGTTGTGGTGGACGATCAGATGTTACCGAATAAGGTATTGTCTCTACTTGTTGTTTGGAGTCGACCCTGTCAAGTGAAGCAACTACGGAAAGGTTGCTCGAAAGAACAGAATGTTGAGGACTAGAAAGAGAAGATGTTAATCGATCAACTCTGTCATCCCATTTCAGTTATTGGAAGCAGGGCTGATGAGAGGGGATTCCATCATCGTCAGAAGGTGAACCAATAGATTGATTTGGGGGTTTGTTGAAGCTGCTGAGAAATGACTGCAGCTTTAGATTTATGCTGTTTAGGTCTTTTAGGCGGAGAAAGCTCCGGAACCGAAGAGGCTTCAGTGGACATTTGATGTTTAGTGGAGGGCTTTGATATTGAGGATTTTGGTAGTGAGCGCTTCAACTGATGGGTTTTTGAAGTTTTAGACGAAGTGGACAGAGCGTCAGAGTGGGATGGTGTGGTCAATGGACCTTGTTTTGAGGCTTCAGAAAGAGCCTTCTCCATTGCTTTGGTTTGTGAGGTGGCCTTACAAGGAGGTTGGGCTATTTTGGTTTGTTGAAGGTATTGTTCCCAAAGACGGAGTTTTAATCTGGATAAGCGAGAATGAAGGACTCCACGCTGGAAGTTCTTACAATGCTGGCAGAAGGATGTCTGGTGTGCCTCTCCCAAGCAAAAAAGACACTTGATGTGGCTGCTGGAGAGTGGTATTTTGTTATCACAGACAACACAGTGTTTAAATGGGCCCAAAGGGGCCATGAATAGGAGAAAATAATTTAAGAAAAAACAATTGCGGAGGGTGGTGGTGGTGCTGCAGCTGGAGGCTGAGCGAAGTAGGAAAAAAAATCTCTGATAGTGAATTTGATCTAAAAGTTTAAAGGAAAAAATACTGATAACAGGAAGGAATCAAGAATAAATCATCTTTCTCTTTTACTCACAGAAGCAGAACTATCAGGCTGGCTGAAAGAAACTGAAAGGGGAGCCTTGGCACCAAGGTATTTATACGAGGGGGGAGGGGCCTTATTCTAATATTTTTTTGCTACTTCAGAAGTTCTAGAACTTTCTGATGAGGCTCCGTGCAGGCGTGGATCACCCATGGTGTGATTCACAGAAGCCACAAAAAAGAACGTGGTTATTTAGAAGTCTTTCCTGCTTGTTACAGGTGAGTAGCTGTTTAATACAGTGCTTAGTCCAGCATTTTACACTTGATGGCCTGCCAAGGGATCACCTGTGTGAATTATGGTGTCCCACTGGTAACCTTTAGTAGCAGATTTACTACTCTGCCTTGGGATCCACAGGTGTATTTACAGGTTCACTTTTACTTTCAGCAGACCTACAGCAACCTCATCTAACAACCTCTGGCTCTTATGATCTTTTAAAATGTAACACACACACAATAACAGGCACTCAGATGATTGGCTGTACTAAATATGGAATCTGATTCAAGTCTGCAATTGTGCCTTGAACCAAATGCAGTACAACTGAGAAAGAGAACATATGATTCACATACTATGAAATCAAGAGGGAAAAGCCAAGAAGTCATCACTTTGGAAATCCAGAATGAAGTTTTGGATTAGCAGTCCAGAATGAAAGTGAATGTGATTGCATGAGATTCTGTCCTGTAGGAAGTGTTTGATGTTTTTTACATCTGTACTTAATATTAAATAAATGTCTGTAAAACCATTAGCAGAGTTATTTACTTTTCAGTTGCTTTCATGCGAATTGATGGCCTAATTTTATGGCATAAAAAGGGTTTCAGGAGATAAATCCCTATTTATAACATTGTGAAGATGGTGGTGGTGGTGGTGGGGAGATGATTATACAAGTTTGATTTGCAGCCAGTGTCCCAGAACAATTAAGTCATAAGTGCAGAGGTCTACTGTACTTAATGACATATGAATGTATGATTTCTGAACTGGACACACTGTAAAATTTGTTATAAGGGATTTTAGGAGATTTGTCTCTGGCTCCCTCTAAAGTACTGTCCACTGAATAAATCACACACAGAGATGTCCTTGAAGGGGAATGTAGGGCAATGCAGTTGGGCATATTTTAGAGAAAGACAGAAGTGATGGGGCTGTTCCTACATGCAATACTGTTCATAGCGTTATTGGAAATTGATTCAGTTACAGATGCTCAAAGCAGCAGATGACACCAGAATGGAATGTAGTAAGGTATGTAAACAACATTGCACTTTAGAAAAGTGATTTTTAATTTTGACCTGTCAGATATGGGTCATGGCAACTGGACTTCATTTCGCTACTCATCTAAGCAGCTTCTTCAGTCTGAGAGTTGGTGGGAGATCCCCAATATATCCTCCATGTTGGTTTCACTTCCCCCTGGTCTCAATAGGCTTTTTAGCAGGCCAAAAGACTGGGGGTGAGAGATAATCCCACTTCTGCAATCCAAGAAGTTGCTTGGATTAGTAGTGAAATGTTTCAATCAAATAAGAGAGAAGTCCAGTTGCCATGACTCAACTTCCAGATAACCACACCTGAATTACTGAGAATCTTCAGATATATTTGACCTATCAGATGTTTTCTCCCAGAAGCCCCGCACAGGATGAGGATCTGGAAGCTAGAAATTAGCTCCAACTTGACAGCACATCACATAACAGATACCAAACTGAACCACTACAAATGTCTAATGCATCATAAAATGGTACACCTCCCAGATGACTGATGGAATGTTCCATGACATATACAGGTTATTTATGCTTTTTGACAGTCATCTGATGTAGGCTTTGGATAGCCCAAAACAGAGACAATTAAGAGTTACAGAAATTGTGGGAAACTTGTTGACTACACTGCCTAGAATCCTTTGCTCCTGGCCCACGCTGACTGAGGAATCTGTAAGCTGAAGTCTAGAACAGATACACAGAGCTAATGATTCTACCTATGTTTCATTTAGTGCCAATGGTCAAGACAAAGATACATCTACCAATACAAATCTTGTGACACCTTCAAAGTTACCCTATTAGAACATATGCACAGACTGGAGATTTTTGTCAGATGTGTAAAGGGTATCCTCAGTTGCAGCTTTACACTCACAGGTGTACATTGGAGGGATGAGAATTGTAGAAAGGGATATCAGAGACAGACAGTGACAATTATAATCATTAATTGTCCTATATACTCTCTGCATCTTATTTCTCTCTGATCTCATTGCTTACAACTGCTTAATCACACACACATACAGTATATATCTAAAGCTCAAGGTACATGTATCTAATGAAGTAGATACCACTCCACAAAAATGTACACTATTAAAAACTGATCAAGTCTTGCATAGGCCCAGAAACATGATTTTATTTTGGGAGCTTGGGGTTGTCCTAGACCCAGGATGAAGAGAAAACACAGCTCAAGGGTTTAAGTTAAGCATTAAGTCACCCAAGAGTTCTAGGCCCATGCGATACTTTCTATCCTGGAACAGCTAAAGCAGGAGACAAAACAAACAACGTGTGCTCAGTTTCAAAGGGTTTTGCATTTTTATTTGAGGGGGAAAAAGAAGATCATCTGTACATTCTTACTTCATCAATCAACAATGATGCACCACTATGTGCCTCCAAAAAGATGGGGTAGCAAAAACTCTTGAAATGCTCTTATTTGGCTTTCCTTTTCCTCAAAAGCACTGAGATAAGACCAGGTAGGAAAACAAGCAGGTAGCCCACCCTTCTATCAAACGTTTTTGAGTAACATAGTTTAAACTAGTACATCAAGTCCTGCAAGGCAGGCAGGGTGCTAAAATAACTAAGAAATTGTGGTTATCCACAGCCAGGGGAAAAATAAGGGTTTGGAGGAGCATGCACTTTAGTGTATCTTTAGCCCTTTTCAGTATCTCAGAAGGCAAATAATCGTTCAGCCCTTCCAAATAAATATGGATAAGAAAGAAACCAGAAATTAGGAAATAATGTTTTTTTAAAAAATCAGCAATATCCACAATTACAGATATTCATTTGGTTTCAGAGGCAGAGAAAAAGAACCAGATGACATTTTTAAAAGCTTGTGTTTTAAGGCGCCTGAAAAAAGTTCAACATCAGCCTCCCCAACGGGTCAGCTGACAGATGTTTTGTTTTGTTATGTCCCAGCTGCCCAGCAGAGCCAGTGAAGATGGAAGCTAGGTGCCCAGCACCACACTGCGGGAGGCTGTTCTGTGACATTATAGAAAAGTAATTGACTGCCCCCATGTGGAAACCAATAGGGTGGGTTGGTGCTTCATAATGAGAGGGTGCAACCCCTCCCTTGGGAATACAGACAACTTATAGCAAGTAAGCCTCATCGGCCACAAGAGAAGCACTTTTGACAGAATCTGGTTATCGGCACTCCTAACACGTAACTCTTGAAGATGTTGTCAGCTAGCTTATTTTTTAATTATTTATGCTAAAAGAAACAAAACAAAACAAAGAGGGCAGGGGGAGATGCAGAACAAAACCCAACCTGAGGCCTGTGATCTCTTCAAATCAAGACATTTGTTAACTTTTGGTTGTAATTTTCTGTACTGGATGTAATGGTAGCAGGTGGGAAACAGTGAAAAGCAAACCGCAGTAACTTCTTATGATGCCCTTCCTTTAAATAAGGGTGAAAAAATACCAGCAACAGCCACAGCTTGGGGAAAAAAGCTTTACTTTTGAGGATTACCCTGCCCAAAATCCCCCAACCATCACAGCTTGTGAGCTTCTGGGTATTAATAATTCAAAAAAGTACAGTTTCCCTCAAGGTCTCTCAACACACCACAATGAAGTCTATTCAGATTATATGGCTGACTTCCTTGGCAAAGCCAGCAGCAGAACTCTACGTACACAACTCTTACACTTCATAGTCAAAATGAACAAAAGTAGTCAGTGGGCAGTCTGCTTTCTATTAGCTCAGAAATTCTGCAGCCACCATTTTGTTTCCTGTGCAGAAGCCATTAGTTTCCACACATACCCGTTTCCACACATACACAAAGAGAAGAAACTGCTCCCTCCTGAGAAAAAGGCAACACAGTGCAAGGGGCTGTAGTAAAAAAGACTCCAGGTGACTGTCCATTGTGTTTTGCTGGGGAGCTGGGAAGGTCTGTAGAGCTGAAGACAAAAAGGATAAAAAGATGCTTGGGCACATCAAGATCAGAAGCCCACAAAGAAGCCCTTGGAATGGTATCTCAACAGCTGATGGCACTGGGCTGCTGTTTGCTGACAAAGTCTGAAATGAAGTCAAATTCATTCTGTCCCAGGAAAAGCTCGGGCAGTTCTTGAACTCTGTCCAACCCCAGTTCCACCACCAAAGACGTCAAGACCTCTTCATCCACCAGATCTGTGTCCATCACATTCAAGGTCAAGGCGGGTGAGGGAAGATGGGGCATGCCTGGATGCTGGCCTGGCCCCATCCTGTACTGTTGAATCCCCGTCCCCATAGGCCCATTGTTCATGCCCATGAGAGGATAGCCCTGGTACTGTGTGTTGAGTTTCTGCAAATGCATGCTGGCCATCAGTTGCTGAGCACCAACAGGTCCCATATATTGTTGTGGCTGCTGCTGCTGCGGTTGACTTGGGTTACTGAACATCATGGGGTTCGGCACCTGGTGGTGACCCATCTGTCCACTGAGGCCAGGTCTTGGCCTCATAGCTCCATCCATGGTGGGGCCTCCATATTGCATCATCTGGTGGCCGGCAGGTAGGGTCCTTAGTCCATGCTGCGCATGCTGTGGGGCCCCTTGTATACCATTCATGCCTATCCGGTAGCCTTGAAGGCCATTCACACCATGGCTCATTGGCATCATCATGTGGTCAGCCATTGCAGTCTGGGCATTTGAGAAAAAAAAAGTGGGTTACAACAGAAGTTAATACCATGGGATTGAGGGCACAGAATCTGGTCCACAAAGCGTTTTCCCCTGTGTCTGCAACTATCACATAGAACTCACTAAAACCTATTCATAGATGGTTTTACATGCCCATTAAAATACATAAAATGCAGGTACTAAGGTTTGCTGGCGGGTTTGCAGAAATGTTGGCGGTCCTTAGTCTTCATGTCTTTTGTTTTTTTACTATTTCAAACATTGGCATTATTACTGGAGCCAAACTTCATATGGGTCTAGGTTTATGTCTGCTATCTATCTTTAGAGGAGTCAATTTACTTTTTTTAAAAAATTGATTATTCACTTATTAATCACATGTTCTCATTGCAGAAAGTTGAAAGGATGTATCTATCATCACCAAGGTTTGTGGTTACAAGGCTCTACATCACTGGTTCACAACCCTGGGTCCCCAGATATTCTTGGGCTCCAACTTCCAAAAATCCTGGCCAGCACAGTCAGTACTGAAGGCTTCTGGGAGTTTTAGTCCCAAGAATATCTAGGGACTCAAGGTCAGGACCCAGTGGTATAAAACATGTGGAAACATAAGGCTGCCACCCTTGGTGTACAATGAACAAGTCTTCAGATAGGACTTCTTTCCTAGCTCTGCCTAGAGATGCTAAGGAGTAGAATCCAGACCGTCTTCAACACAAGTAGGTGCTCTGTTTCAGACCTGTGGTTAGCTACACAACAACCCTAGTCCATGGTGAGGGATTATGGGGTTTGTAGTGCAACCACACCTGAAAAACTACCTGATCCCTATCTCTGCTGTAACTGTTTCATGAATTACCTGTACATCATACATATTCCTCCACAAAACTCCAAGGGACATACCTAGTCACCCTCATTTAATTACTATAGCTACCCATGTAAGCCAGGCTCGGCCAAGAGGGGAAAGGTCAACAAATGAACTTTAAGGTCAAGAGGGAAGGCAATAGGATTCAAACCTGGTCTGTAACAGAGTAGACTTTGTCTAGAGGGGCGGGGTATACGTCCAAATAAAGTAAAAGTAAAGTTTTAAATTGCTGGTTTGGGAAGAAAGAACAAGGATGAATTGTGGCACTCAGGACAGCTGCACATTGTTTTTGTAAGCAATCAGGAAAAGCAAATTTGCTGGAAAGAGCCGTGTGCATGCACATGTGCACACACACATATATAATTCCTGTTCCTTTTGTCTACAATGGCAGCAGATGGCAGTGAGCCTCCCCCTCCCTCCTTATTTCTCCATGCTTTGGATTAGGAGGTCACAGTGGGATACAGCTAAAGCAGCCTTCAGAAGCATTGACTACAGCTCCCATTGTCCACAACCAGCAAGCTACTGGCTATGTGTTGATGTGTCAGACACAAATGCATGAAATTGGATCAGGGAATGTGGAGCTGAATAATTCACTGAACTAGTTTAAGACATTCTGTAGCCAGTCACCTTCAAAGTCAGAGGACACAGAAGGCTTGGCTCAGTATCCTGTTTATGAAAATGGTGGACATACAGGCAATAATCTTTGTGTGTATTTTGTTGCTGCTTCCCAGCAATACTTACATCTAAGGTAAACTGCCTCTGAGCTTGGAAGCTCTATTTTTACCCAAATAGGGCATACCTCAAATTGAAAGGGGTGCATGTTCTCCTATGAAGTAAAGAAAAAAAGGTTCCACCTTTAATATAAATTTATACTGCAATTTTAAAAAAACCTCCCAACATGTACTGGATTGCAACTACCTGTAGCCACAGTCAGCAGCACCAGTGGTAAGGAATAACAACTACAGAATGTTTATTCCAGACATGTCAGGGTTTGAGATATAAATGACTTCTTCTCACCTCAGGTTTTCTATTATTCCTCAACTCAGACCTTAACACTGCACATATCCTGAAATTCAGGATAACACCACATATATATGATCCATAGCCCAAAATAAAAGGGGTTATAATTAAAAACCAGCTTATGCCATGATGAGCAATGTTTGTGCCAACATTTTGTTTTTAGGTCCTTGTTCTGTTACTTCCTTACACTTTGGATTTACTACATATACACTACTACATTTACAGTGTACACTTGCATGCCCCCTCGTCAAGTACACGAACTAAGAAGATAGTAATTTCTAAGTGGCCCATTCACTTATGAACTGAGAGAGATATTCAAGAGTTGCTTAAGACTAACTAGGAACCCACAGCTACAGTAGTTACGTCAAAGAGCCCAGCGTGTGAGAATTAGCCAAAGGCCGGGCCGCCCCTTAAGGAGCCCTTTTGCCCCTAGCGGCACGACAGCGCGCTGCAACGAGGCGACTCCGTGCTGCCCCCTAGCGTCTCGGAGATCCTAACTGAAGACCCATCGTATAGCACCGGCTCTTCTTTCTTCCCCATTCCTGCACTCCCCGAAGTCACGACTGGCGTAGGTTTCTTTCCGATGGCAGAGGACACGGACACACGGACACACAACACACACACACACAGTCAATTCATCGGCGCCTTTGCAAACGCCAAAAGAGGCCGGTTGGCGGTGCATCTGAAACCTTCCCCACCCGGATGAATAAAACGAATACGATTTTGTACTGTTGGAAGAGCGGAGCTATTTGAAATTCAGCGAGGAGGCGGCAGCCGTCTCCTTCGGCCCTTAAAGCCCGGCAGCGCCCCTCGACGCCCGGCAGGATCCCGCCCCAACGTGCCGGTTCCCCCGTTTCTCCTCCCCCCCCCCCATCTCCCCCTCTCCCCCCATTGCCGGCTCTAGGCGGCTCCCGCCCCGGCACATTCCGCACAAAGATCGGCGGCACTTTGAACACAAAAGTTTAACCCTTCCCGCCCTGCTCCCGAGCTCAGACAATGCCGCCCGACTCGCGCTCAGGGAGAATATCTGCGGCCAGCGAGGGGGGGGA